ATAGGGTCAGTCACTTTCTTTATCTTCAGTTGTGAGCATCAAATTAACAAATAGGACTTACTTCTAAGGCATGTCAAGATATTAACTATACAAATCACTAGAAAAACAAGTTTTTCCCATTTCTCAAAAAATCAGTGATTACAAAAAATAGGGAAATGGGGTCAAACTATTTCAGCCCAGAGCACTTCTCCAGAATTTTTAATTCCTTGAAACATGAGTCTTAAACAAGTCTTCTGATTATACAGCACATCAATTTTCGCTGTATTTCATATGAAAGTATCGATCGTGTGCAAAAAATAATAAAATGACAAATCAGTTCTGTTTTCAAGACTATTTTTCTAGAAATACATACAATCAAGAAACAAAAATGTATTCTACAAATCAGAGCAATAAGCCAAAACCAAAAAGCATGTACAAGAAAAACATTTACCTGCAATTAACTTTAGGAGGTTACTCTTATCCCCATTAACAGCAGCAGCATGCACTTCAGATGCTAATGAGGAACCACTGAAGAGGCAGTTTGTTGAAATATTCATACTCTTGCAAGGTATTATCATAGGTCAGATGTGTACCACCAACATATTCTGTAAGAATTCAGTTCTAGGGGACAAAAAAAAAAAAAACAACTGAACTGATATAACATTACAATGACTTAAACAATGCTAATGAAAATAAACAGCCCCATTAAACAATAGGAAAAAACAAATGTGGGTTGTTTTTTTTTTTGTGAGTTAAATCTACTTCTAGTCAAGAGTCAATTAACAAAACTTTACATCAAGTACATATATAAATATCCTACAGTTTTGTTGCCTTCAAAATAAATTTTAGTCAGTAAGCTTTGCGAAAGTCTGCAAACAGAACAGTATTTATCTATACATTCAACAGATCCTTCTTCAGAGTGCTGGCATGGATATTTCAAGTAACCTGTGGTGTTTATCAAGTATTGACTTGGTATCTGGTGGCATTTTACCATGATGGTTTATGAATATACGTAGAGCAAGGTTTATACCCACAAGTAGTATCTTTTGTTTGACCAACTGGCATAACAGAAATTATCAGACCAACTTTTTAGATCTTGAGCCTTCTTCAGACCTGAACAGAAGAAGGAAAACGTGTGCAAGAAAAGCCACAGTGAATCAGATCAAGCTCTATCTCAAACTGGCCAGTAGCAAAGAACAAGGTAAATACACTTATGCCTTTGTTCCTCTTTTCTAAATATTTTCTTAACTTATAACTACTCCAACATTCCTGAAGTGGACTTTTATTTCTGTGTATTTAGAGCTTGTAAAATTCTGTTAATTTTCTTCAGTTAATTTCTGTTCTACAAACCTGTCTAGTCTCCTCTCAACTTATTCACTATATCCACTGATCAAGGAGTGCCACAGCACAACCAAACACTGTACGGATGAACTGCTTTCCTCCATCTGTTCTGAAGTGGCTCTTGGCATTTGAGGCCCCTTAAATCTAGAACTGGAAGGTAAACAGAAGTTCTCATCTATCAGTAATTATGTTACACATCTCTGACATAGCTTCCACAATCGTATATTCCTTTAGCTGAAAGCGTTGGACATTATTAAGCTGTTCCGTAGGCAGGGGCTTTTATGTATGTCTGAACATTTTAATTAGCTTTTTTGGACTCTTCCCCAGTTCAGTCATACCCCATTGAGATGGAAACTAAACTCCACTAAACACCACTAGGTATTCAAGATGTAGGCAAAAATTGGAGTTAGGCTGCTAAAAGGTCTCTCTTTTTTTCTTCTCCATTTATTACCTAAATTATACCTGCTAGTACTTTTGCCTTCCTAGCCTCTTTTGAAATGGAACTATCACTTTCACTGAACTACCGGTGTCACCTTCACTGAACTATCAGTGTACCAGACCTTGATAATGACCAATTCAGGTCTGCTCTGTGTATCAGAAATAAAGAAGGGCCTGCATGCTCATAGCACCACAAGTTTGCTCAGTTGAGAATGTCAGTGCAGAGGTGCAAGGATGAACTCCTCATGATCTTATGAAAGCGTTTTTCACAATTGGAAATAGTTCTGGAGCCACATCTGGTCAACTGAAACCTATAGAACAACAGGATCCCGTCCTGACACTCTCCTCTTCCACCACTGAATAAGCCTCTGAATAACATGACAACGTTCAGCATCTCTTGAATCATGAACACCTCCATCCTTATCTAATTCCTTTATGTCCCTTAAAAGTTGCCAAATGTTTTTTGGTGTACTTGTTTTAGCACATAAGTAGATGATCTTTCTCATAAAAAGAATGAGTGATTAATGGATTCACAGCCCTAGCTACTTTCAGAAGAAGACAAGAAAAGAGTTCAAAGAGCTAAGGTGAGAGAAGGTTAAGAACATTTCCACTTGTACAACTATGGAAGACAGAAAAAATGTCCTAAAACACCACAAATGAAAACATTACCATACTTAGCTGCAATATAAACAGGAGGAAAGAGAGAAGGAAGAAAGCTGCAGAGATGGATGCTACATAATTTAATGGGCACTTGATGCATAACGCTGCAGCTTGAATTTAAATTGTCTTGTCTTTTCCTCAGTACAATTCCTGTGGATAGGAAGATAAATGAGCAATCTCTCTTTTAAGTGGACCAATATACACCACTGGAATTTTACACCTGTTAGGATTTTGAGATAGTAGTTTTATCCCCAAAGCTATCACTGATGTATTTTCTTCCATTTTCTTTGCATTTTATTTGCAGATTCTTTCTTTCACTATCATTCCAGCTGGTTCAGACACGCGTGGTTGGAAGATACTTCCCCATGACTTGTCCACTAACCATATCTGAATATTCTGGACAACTCTTCTAAACAAGTGGAGAATGCTCCCTCCAGCTCTTATACTGCCAATCTGAGCACCCTCAAAATGCTTTATTATCTGGAGTACTCAACAGGATGAAGAACCAAATGTTTTCCTCACATGCTACAGGAATACTGTGCATTGTGCGATTCTAACACAATTCCATCTTCAACATTGCCACATGGAACCAAACAAAAGAAATCGTAAATAGGAATCACAGCGTGGCTGAAGTTGTCAGGGCCCTCTGGGCTCACCTGGTTCCATCCAGTCCCAGTTGCAGCAGGGCTACCCAAATCAAGCTGCCCATATCCCAGCAGCTTCTGGATACCTCCAAAGAGACTCCACAGCCTCTGGGCATAGAAATACTACCTGGTGCTCAGACGAAACCTCCTGTGCTTCAGTCTATGCCCATTACCTCTATCCCTGTCATGGGGCAGCACTGAAAAGAGCCTGGACCTGTGTTATTTGCACCTCACTTTAGATACTTGACAGTGCTGTGATCCACCTCTGGACCACCCCTTCTCTAGACTGAAGTCCCCCCTCTCTCAGCTTTTCCTCACAGGAGATGCTTCAGTCCCTTCATCATTGTTGTGGCTCTAGATTGAACCAATTTAATAAAAAGACTCCAAAAAGGCATTCGAGTTAAAGACTCACTGTTTAAATACAAACCAGAAGAACTTAAAAACAACATCTACTTTTCAGTTTTACTATTTTAGGGGGATGTCTACAACAGTTGGAGGAAGAGGTGGGGAATCAGCATTCTGAGAAGTACAAAACACGGATTAATTCCTGAAGCAAAGCACAGCAAAGCACAAGGTAAGGTTTACATTGATGTGAATGAGAACTGGCAGTAATGGTAGTTGGAATACAAACGCCAGCAAGCCTCTGTTAGTATTTTTAATACTGTATTTGCTCTACCTTTATTTTGGAAAGGTTATGACAAAAAGTAATGAAAACAGTTATGACAAAAGATGCATTTGCCTCATCTCTCCCAGTGCTAACAAAATAGTTTGGTTAGCATTAATTTCATTTCCACACTGCTGACAGTCCTTACAAAGTCACCCCAAATAGATTACAAATGGATGTGAATACTTTATATGATATCCACGGATTACAGCATAAAATTCAGCAACTACTGGAGACCTTAATAAAGCACCAGAAGCATCCCAGTTACAAATCAGCAGTAATATTAAACTGACTGCACGTCGCAGAGAATTAGTAATGACGTTCCTACTTCCAAGAAAAAAAAAAACAAAACAAGAAGAATCACTACTGTACAAAGTTTCAGTAATCACATTTTTAAGAGAAGCAGACAATTACCTCTACAACAACTTTCAGTAGAGCATCATCACTATATTGAAAGACCTAATTCGGAATCACAGAAATTATGAGATATTGAGAGGAACTATAAAAGGAAAATACATCGCTTTCCTCAGATGTTGCTCTCCTGTATATGACAAACTGGAAGAGCAGTTTGATAAAGATCCTCAACTACAAAAGTTTTTTCTTACTTCTGCGGGACAAAAACCAACAATAATCAAGAAATAACCACAAGATCTATTTATATAAAGTGATACTGTTGGCATTATCTGCTGTGTACACTGTACTGGGGGAATCAAGCATATAATTCACTCTCTCTCTCTGAAACTAACACGGAGAGAAACACGGGCTGCAATGACTCCACTCTATCAAATTTTATTGATAAAGCTGACAGGAAAGCAGCATCAGTCAACAACAGGAGCGGACCCAGAAGACTGGGCATTCAACGTACAGGCACAAGAAGAGACATTAAGACAGCGCAGTCGCCCGCTGCTACTCACGAGCTGAGTTACCCCAATTACGTAAACTCGGAGAACTTTTCCGGCCCAAAGCAACAAGAAGGAGAGGAGGAGGAAACCCCAAAGGCGGATAACGAGCGCCGGGTCAGAACAAACAGGCAAACCCCTCCCAGCCCTACAACCGCCCCGCCGCGGCCACCGCGCCCCAACGCTCACCTCAGCACCGCCCGCCCCGCCCTGACAGAGGGGGCGCCCCCGCTGCATGCTGGGATAGCCGGGCCCTCCGCGCGGGGCGCGCCGGGAGGGCGCGCTTCTCCTTTTCCCCGGCTAAGAACTACGCTTCCCGGCGTGCTCCTGCTGGCACCCGGAAGTGAGTGGCGAAGGCGGGCGGCGCGGGGCCCGGTGGTGGGACGGCCGCGGGTGTTTCCTGGCGACGGGGGAAGTGCGGAACCGCCGCGGCCGCCGAGCGTGGGAGCCGCGTTTCTCCCCCCCCACCCCGCCGCCGGGCGCCTGATCTACCATGAGACCCGCCATCTTCCTGCTCCCGCCTCAGCCCGGCCGCCTCTTCCTCCTCTTGGTAAGCCGCCGGCTTCTACCCGCCCGCCCCGCGGCCCTCTGCTCTCCCGGCAGCCGGCACCGGTTCGGGGCCCTTCCTCGGGCCGGCCTTGGGCGGGAGCGGCGCCGCCGACACCTGCAGGGCCCGAGCTGAGAGCGAGCTTCCCGGCTGGGGGAGGACGACGCTGTGGCTGGGGCTGATAGGCTGCGGGGCGGGGCACGGCCTGCGCACGGCGCTGTGCGGGACTCCCGCCTCGGGCCTGTTCCCCGCTACGCTCGGGGCAGGGCTGACTGTCCCGCGGCGGCCTTCTGGCCCCGTCCCATCGGCGCGCTCGGGAGGTGGACGGCAGTCCACTCGGAGCTCAGCGGGCAGAGTTGGAAACAAGTTCCTGAGTGCCCGAGAGGCTCGTGGAATTCAGCTGCGGTTGTCAAAATGTGGCTTTTTTGGTATTTTTTTTTTTAAGCTTGCTCAATCTGAGCTACTTTCTGCCTTTGCAGACGTGAATCACTGATGCGTGTCCTTTGTGGAGATAAGGAGGCCCTCTTATCTTTTAAACAGGCCAGTGTACTGATTCTTTGTTTTCCTGGCTTGTACTGAGCCACATCCTGAGCCTTTAGAGCTTAGGAGACTTGCAGAGCCAAAGGAGGCTTGTGTAAATTTAATGAGGTTTTGCTTAGTTAATTTATTTTAAATGTGGAAGAGTAAAACAAGGAATCATGAGAGGTAAAGTTAGCTAAGTCGGAAAAAAAAGGAACAAACACCTAGCTGTTTGTGTAGTGAATGATATGTATAAGATAATGTATTGAAACTGGGGAAGGTGGAGGTTGGATCATCAGGAAAAGGTTCTGCACCAGAGGGCAGTGGGCACTGGAACAGGCTGTCCAGTGGGCACAGCCCTGAGTGCTGGAGTGCAAGGAGTGTTTGGACACTGCTCTCAGACATAGAGTTTGAGTTTTGGGTGAGCCCGTGTGGAGCCAGGAGTTAGATTCAGTGATCTTTAAGAATCCCTTCCAACTCAACATATTCTGTGATTCCAAATAGAGTTTTGGGGATCTAAGGGGAAATACACAGCGATGCAGCAGCTCATGAATGAATAGGAACTTGAAGACAGGTGCTTAATGAACAGGATCGCTCATTACCTCTTTGAAATGTGCACTTCTACCTGAGTGAGCTTCAGTTAAATTACCATAAGCTTGCTGCAGTTTCAAATTCAATAACCATACAGAATTTGTGAGGTTTGAAAAAGACATTTTTTGAAGAGTTTGTATATAGGTGGCTATTTGTAGTGTATTAGCTCTCTGCTAATACACTGAGTAACCTAGGATTTTCAGGTCATATCTGTGCATTGAAACAGAAGTAGTATTGTCTGTATGCTAAAATCGACATTTTAACTGTTGTTTTCAGTACAGGCTCCAATGAGTGAAAACTAGGAGCATGTATTTTTTTTAAAACACAGTTTAAACAGGCAAGTATAAGTTTGAGAGTGCTCGGGGGTAATGAGAGCATTTTTCTTTCTTCATGGTACACTGGATCCATGCAAATTTAATATGCATCACATGCACGTCAACTTACAGAATAGATTGTGGTGAAGACCTGAAACTTCCCCAAGCTTTAGTTGCTGTCATTTAAACCAATTTCTAATGAGATTAAAAAGAACAATGTGCATAAAACCTCACAAAGAGTACAGATCGGAGATGATGTGGTTTTCTTTTTTTTGAGAGATGTTGGGGAGGTAAAATATAATTATATGTAATGTTATCTGTGTAATTCTTCAGCGTCATCTCAGACATACCCCTGTATTGTAAGGTGCCTGGTTATGCACTTGGATCAAGACAGTGAGCCACTTCTTGCAGTAGATTTGATGTGAGCTTTGGAAAAGTTGTCCTGAGCAGACTGAGAGTAGGAGAAGGAGACTTTTTCTTTAAAGTAGTTGTGAAAAATATCGTACTTTTTTTCTTATGGCATGTGGAGAATCTGGTAGTGTGTATGTGACCATCTTCAGCGTTCTTGTAGCTTTCTTTCTCATCTTAACAACCACAAAAGCTTGGCTTTGTATAGCAGAGTTTGAGGGAGCCGTCTGCTCTGTGTCCCAAGGATGTGTTGTCCAGCAGAACATCTTTGGGATTGACAGTCGGTGTATTTTGTCTATGTGAGCCTTTCAGTGTTCCATCAGTGGTTTCTAGAAGAGATTGCATTGATATGCAGCTGTGACAACAGCTTACTAAGCTGGACTTGCTTAGTAATAGCAATAAAGTCTTAAAGAAATTAAATTTCCAAACTTTTGGATAAGCATATTTCTTTTTCTACGCAGTCTATTCTCTGGGGGAAATAAGTTGTTCTTTATTTTTCATATTTATTGCTTTTGTTTCCAGAGCTCTGCATACCAAAAGTATAATGGATGAACTTTTGCACTGCTGTGTAATGATGCTCCCCATCTTGTAATAATACTCGTTTGTCAGAATGTTTTTCAAAGCAGGTGTACACTGAAAAGTGCTAAAAACCAATTTCTAAATAGGGGAAGAAAAGGCAGGGAAAAGAACGAACATAGCATATTAGTAAAGCAGGATGTATAATACAGGAATAGGAGGAAATTGAAGTAGACTGAGTGTAGAAAGTACTTATTTGTATTGAAAGTACAGAAAACTAGGTAAAAGATGCTGAGAATTGAAATACTATGAAATAAAATACAATATCTATATCAAGAGTAGTTCTTTTGTCTAAAAATTATCAGTAAGAGATCACTAAAGTTTCAGAGAGTTTTGGACCACTGTCTTTGTGTTTCCTAATATACCTCCCAATCTCACTAAAGGTTGCTTTGCTAGTTCGGAGGTCGCAGTACAGGGATACCCACCAGGCCCAAAACAGACCTGTTCCCTCCTCGGTTTGAATTCTCAGGTGAAGGTTTAGTACTGGATCAGAGCAGGGCTGCTGTGAAACAGTGTCTGGAGAGAGGGGTGAGGAGTAAGTACAGGGTGGTGTGAACCCTGTTTTTCTAATGCTGAAGCTGAGAGGGAGGGCAGGCAGGGCAGAGCCCAGGCTGCAGAGCTAATTGCAAGATTGGACTGAAAAAGTGGATGTGTGCACTTCTTGCTTGTATATGAATAATGTTTCTGCCATGCTGGTATGTTGCTTAACACCGGGTAGGACAGATCTAATGAATCTGAGAGAGTGGAATAAATGCTGACGTGATGCTGCCTCACCACATTTTCTCTAAGGCAAGGTGTGGTTCTTTAGTTTTGCTCTAACCAATCCTTATGGTTTGCCTTCACTTGCAGATGTTCTGCAATTTTCATTACAGACCAAGTACACAAGATACTCCGTTGCATGTGCTCTTACTGCAGAACATGTTTAACAGATACTTGTCATATTGCTCAGTAGTCTACTGGGGAACTCATGTATGCGGTGTCTCTGAGGAACAGATGTGAACAGAGGAAACTACCAACTGATAGGGAGAAAAGTGAATGGGGAAGTTGTTTTACTCTCTTTAAATTATTTTTTCCCTCAAGCAACTGTAAAAGAATTTCCCTATTCTTGCATTTTGGTCTCTGGTATTTTGTTGTGTTTCAAAACTACTGTTACGGCTTTACTTTGTAGCTTGTTTGGAAAGGCATCCCAGACAAAGCAAGAGCACCTATTTTGTAACATACTTGACAATGCCATTGGAAGGACATATGTGTCCTGTGATATTCTGGGAATGTGAAAAGTTTTCACAATTTTAAAGTATGCACAGAATCATTGAATGGTTTGGGTTGGAAGGGACCTTTAAGGTTCCAACCCCCTGCTAAAGGCAGGGACACCTCCCTCTTACCAGGATGCTCAAAGCCCCATCCAGCCTGGCCTTTAGTGCTTTTAGGAAGAGGCAACCTGTTCCAGTGTCTCACCACACTCACAGTAAAGAATCCCTTCCTGATACCTAGTCTAAATTTACCCTCTTCCGGTTTAAAGCCATTTCTCCATGTTCATGTTCTTACAAAAAGTCTCTCCCCAGTTTTCCTATACCTCATTTTTTAAGTAGCATCCTGGGGTTTCTGTGGAAGCTTGGTGAATGTTCTGCTGTCTGTTTGTATTTGTTTTCTATAAGCTGATGTGGCTTTGTTATTATCAGGTAATACTTAGTGTTACAGTTTGTGTTACACTATAATTTTTGTATTTTTAGTGAAGCTTTCAAAAGACATCCTGCATAGTAATGCAGTTGCAACTGCTAGAAGCAGTAACTTAGTTCATTATCTACTGCCTCTTCTTTGAGTTTTCTATTAAAATTTTAATTAGAAAAAATGCTATAGGGTAATATTTCTGTTTCTTGTTTGATTGCCACTGCCTTTTGTCTTGTTGATTTGACATCAAGTATCCGAAGAGTGAAAGTGAAAATTAAATAATGCCTTATCTCACTGTTAAATTGTACAAGTAGTAAATTGTACAAGTAAAGCCCAGAGAGAAATTGAACTATGTAATCTTGCAGTGAGTAAGGTGTGTTTCTATGCACTTGTTTATCTTTGCATGGATCCTGCTCAAAATGCAATATTCTGAATTTGAGCATTAGCCAAACGTAACTATAGGCAAATCTGACATCACTGAGCCTTAAAAAACGGAAGGGGGTTCCCTGCGAGAGTAGCACAAGAGTTCCAAGTAGATGAGGTGTTAACTGAGGAACTTCCTCACCCTGTTCCCGTTCTCTTCCTAGGTGAGTAGGAGAAGCATATTACTGATCTATTACATCTTTCATGCTATGCCACGTAATTGGCAAGCTTCCTCATTGAAGCACTCAGCTGGAAAGCGGAGAAACTGAAACAATTCTTCAAACAGAGGACTAAGACAGTGTTTGAAAGTGTGTAAAGGAATTTGTGACTGCACAGTATTACAGATGCTCTTTCTGGCAGACATACTCTCTCTGATGTTCCTTATCTTCATTTTCTTTTGATACCCTTGTGTTTTGCTTTAGCCTCTTTTTTGGCAGGGCAACTTTCTTAAGTGAGACACTGGGCCTCATACCACTTCTTTGGGAAAACAGTGTACCACCTTTG